TAAGTGTAGTTGTATTCTGAAGGTTGGTAAGCATGTCTAAAATTGCAGCTTAAGTTTTAAGAGAAACAAAAGGTGGGTTTTAAGAGAGACCATATGCCTTTTGTAATAATCTTCATTAGTTTTTTTTTTTCTGTTTTACTTTTTATTTCAGTTTGTAAAAGTTCTGTCCTCTTTTGGGTAGGGTGAGATCTGTCCAATAATTCCTGCTGAACCAAGTTCTCTTTTATCAGCTTTGCCCTTCTGATATGAGAATAATTTCAAGGTTTCTTTGAACTGCTACTTACATGTTTATAAAAAGCAAAACAAGCTTCTCTTTCAGTCTAAAAACTTGCAGTGACTTTCTTGTACTAGCGCTGCCCTGCCAAGGCAAAAATTTATTAACTGGAACTTTTCAAATCTCTCCTCTCCTGTTCTAACTCATCCTCATCAAGGGACGTTCAGAAAAAAAATGCAGTTATCATCTCTGCCAAGAGATGAGGCAGAATCTTTTCAATAGGGTGGGTACAAAAATGTTTCACCAAGTATTCACTGAGACAAAAGCTGTAGCAGGAAACGTTTTTTTTTTTGGAGAGTCGGGGGGGGATGGATTTACCTGACCCTCCTATGGATATTCCATGACATTTTCCTGAATCTGTTTTTTTATGAGTTTGCATGTGTATTAAGTTTCTAGTCCTTTTACTTTAAAGGCTGGAGAGTAAAAAAACAAACTTGTTCCTTCTTCCTGCTGTTCTGGCTAACAAGTGCAAAAGACATTGGGAGCAAGACATAAGGTCTTAAACTGGTTGTTGTTAAAACTGACATTGATATATGATGGTTCCTTAGTTTACTTAAGGCTTGCCACCTCAAAATATTTGGCTTACAGGCTTAAGCAGACAAGGATGAAGTTGGTTCATTCCCTTTTCAGTATATGAAAGCTACCCTTCATGATGGGTGCTCCTTTGAAGTAGATCATAAAAACGGTTGCTTAAAATGCAAAACTGCATTGTGCATTTTGGGGGGGAAAGATTGTGATACCTTTTAGCTGTCAAGTGGTTAGAAATATTGCTGCTGATCTAGAGCAGGGGATGAAAGACCTCTCTCCTTCCTGCAGGGGTTTTTGAACAACAGTTCCCAGTAGCTCCAACCAGTGAGAACCTGTCGGGAGTCAGCCCCAGGCTTCTCAACCTCCTTCTAGCTCAGAGGAGTCATTGCAGTGCCAGTCACCCACCTCTCCCCTCGGTGGGCAGCTTCTAATCCCACCGTCTTCCAGCAGGAGCTCAGGAGCTTCCTACTTCCCCGCCGTCCATAGTCAGCAGCAAGAAACCAGCCGTTTGGTTGGAAGCCTGCTGGGTGCTGTGGGACCTCCAGTGGGAGTAGCAAGGGGAGGGGGAAGACTGGGCACCCAGTAAGGTCCCATCTATGACACATCCTACGGTGCCCTTTTTCCCCCTGCGTTGACACCAGTCCCGGGCCTGTGGAGCTGCTGAAAGAGTTCTTTGTGGCAAAGTTGATGATTTTGCTGTTATTACCCGAGGAGTTTGAATTCTCGCCGAGTTAAGTAATTCTGGGCCTGGAAAACAGCTATTGTGCTCAGGCCCAGGAGTCGATGGGAAGCCTCTCGCATTCCTCTTTAGGCTTCTAGCTTGTTCCTTTCACTATAGATGAGGCTATGTTTCTTTTAAATGAAATGCCTTTTTCTCCCACTCTCTTCCTGTTCTCCCGCCCACCCCCCCGTCCCCCATCTCTTTCCTCTTTCTAAGAACCGACCGTCTCATTCAGCCAGGTATTTTGATTACCCGTACCTGGGTCTTAGAACCTGGAAGCTTAATATCGTAACTGAGTCGTTCTACGTGAGAAAGTCGGCCTTCTGTGTTTTGAGGGTCAGAGAGCATCTGGGGAAGAGGCAGGGAGCCATCTCTGGCTTTGGAGGATGGTAGCCGTTTCTTGCTCTCAGAACTTTCATCCTGAGATAAGATAAATGTTGATTATATTTAAAATAGGAGGCAAGAGTATTCGCTATGTTCGCCGCCTAATATATATAAATATATATTAATAGATAATATACATTAAATATATTAAACAAAGGCAAATATTAAAGAAATATATCCAATCTAATAATAACAATAATTAAAAATATAATAATAATCTTCCCGTAGAACTTTTATCTGGGTTTTGACCCTTGTTTCAAATAGCTGTCATTTTGCATCAGGAAAAAAAATTCTGGAAGGCTCACCTTTTGAAGAAGCAAAGTGAGTGACTCCATAGGAACAGGAATCTATATATAATTTCAGCTGCGTAACCCATGTACCTATGTGAAAACACATTTTGCAAACATTTTCATCATAGATGTATATCGTATATATTAAGTATATTTCTAAAATGTATTCTGGGATGTGACTCAGAGGTTTTATACATAAATGCAATATTTAGCATTCTGGGTGCTTAGAAAGGAAAAAAGGAATCATATGATAGCATAACTTTAAAAACCTATGTCAAGGAAAGGTTTAAGTGACAAATGATTGCATTTTGGAATATTTTATTCCTGAATTACATTAAAAGCAATTTCATGACCTGCATATTTTATACAGGGTTTGTATACAGGGTGTACCAAAAGTCAGGTCTCATAGAATTGAATACATAGAATAAATTACATCAGATGTTTGAATTGGTTGCCATTTTCTTCTAAACACTTCCTTATTGTTTGACACGCTCTTCAAACACTCCTAAGTACAGTAACTTTTCTCTGATGTTTGCAGATTTGAATGCTAGATTGTCTTTTGACTTCTGGGGCCTGACTTTTGGCACACCCTGCATATATAAATCTTAATTCTTCTCCTGTAAGCCACAGAAGGTCTCCTTGTGGGAAAAGGGACGTTGGAACCATGAGTATTTCACTGACTCCTTGAAGGGAATATGAGATATACAATTCATAATAAAGAGAAAAGTGTAAAAATGGATGGGAGAAAGTAGAGGCAAGAGAAGATGGATTCAGGATGAGTTAGGAATAGAATAGCTGCTGAAGAAAAGCTAATTCCACCAGGGGGCACTATAGGGAGTGGTGCAAAGAAATACTGTACTTATCTTGAGAGAACATTTAACAGGATGTTATTCGGTCAAGTAATCTTTCATCTGCCCACCCTAATCTGCCTAGTCTAAAACCAGGTTAATTAAAAACCAGGTAATGAATTGGAATGTATTTTTCTCAGGGCCGTTGAGTTGGTGGTTTTTTCCGCCTGACTGCTTCAGGCAGGAGATGGCCTAATTTCAAAGAATTAATGGTTAATTGTCAATGGCCAAGATCAAGCCCACCTATCCTCCCACTTTAAAAGTCACCTTTCTCCCTCATTCTTAATAAACAGACTGTGCAGAAAATGGGCGGGAGGAAGGGGAGAGCATAAGGCTGTTCAAAAAGACTTGTTTTTTCTGAAAAAATACTTCAAAGCAGAATATTTTTACACGCACACGCACGCATGCAGAATTGGCTTTGGCTTTTGCAGACGTGCTGCGTTTTTATCTTTTATTCTTGGCTTCACGATGCTGAGCTAATTATTTGCTTTCTTCTTGTCTGATTAACAGTGTGATCTTTCTGATCGTTAAATTTAACAAACATGTAAACTAAATATGAGAAAAAAGCTAATATAGCCGACTAAAGACTTTTCTTAATTATTCAGGTTTCCAACTGGACAACTACAAATGCTCTCTGCAGCTAACTCCATTCAAGTGCATAAGAAAGACATAATTAACGATGTTTAAAGGCTGTTTTGTTTTATTGGCGGTTTAATTGAGTTCTGTAACACAGATTACAGTAAACTCAATCACTGGCAGCAAATGGGGGTGTGAATCTGAGTGCCTCTCGCCTTACTCCAAAAAGCTGGCTATTGCTGTCCTATCCACAGCATGATTGTACAGTACAATATCAGCATATATTTCCAAGATACATTTTGCTCTGGCAGGGTTTGAATCTGGGGCCGTTTGTAGGCCAAACATTAAGTTTCACCATTGTGTTATGGGCCCTCCCTAGGAGGTAAAGGGTTGTGGAAGGCATTCTAGGGTGTTCATAGCATTAACTGTTCAGATTGAAGGATTCTGCATTACCCAGTCTCCTATTTCTATTTCTTTTGTTTTGCCAATTCTTTGCTTAAATTAGATAGATTTGGGATACATTATATTGTTGTAAAGAATGCAGAGTCACATAGAGTCACCCTAGGATTGTCCAGTTAAGCCTGAATTACTTTTCCTGTGCAGCTTCAGTGAAGGTGAAAGGAGTTTTACAGAGGGGGAAGCAGGAAACCGAGAAAAGTGCTTGGGTCTGCCAAAGGAGGTTTGACAGTTGACAGATCTGGAAGAACATTTGGGGTTGAGTAACACAAGCACCCAAGGGGTCATGTTGGAGGTATCTTTGAGGATATCAGTCAGCATGGGAGGAATGCTGCAACGTTTAGGGAAGTATTGAGTACATCTTTCACTATGTGCAACACTCCTTGGTGCTTCATCCTGATAGTGATGTCCTATTATGGAGAATTATTCATAAGCACAGTTTTGCAGTTAATAAAAGAAGTATAGGTCAAATATTGCTGGGAGTCGGACAGCATATAAATGTAATAAATTATTATTATTAAATGGGTCATTATTCAGGATGCAAGATAACTCTTCGGTTGTCAAAATTCCAGTTGGGCCTCCCTCTGCTCTGTACATGTTGGAGGAGAGAGAAGTCCTGCCAGTACTGAAACGTCTTGACAAGTTGTGGTTGATCCCTCTTGCATTCTAGGAAACATGATCATGATTATGACCGAGATCCTTCTTTCCAGTAGCTGTGTGAGGCATTAAGAGTTAAAAAAGAGAAGAAGTGAATAAGTGACGAAGTTGAACAGGAGAAAAGCAGGCTTGGAAATACTGGAATAGGGCTAGTTCAAGTGCTGAGCAATGGGATGGTCCTTCTCCTCCATCTCCCAAGCCTCCTTTAAGCCTCTGTCTCAATGCAGCTTGAAAATTAATGCCATCTACCGCTTTGCTTCCTGCAGCGTTGCAAAGACCGAGTGAACGCCTTGGCCATTGCCGTCATGAATATGTGGCCAGGCGTCAGGCTACGGGTGACGGAGGGCTGGGATGAAGACGGACACCACCTGCCTGACTCTCTGCACTATGAGGGCCGGGCACTGGATATCACCACCTCTGACCGTGACAGGGAGAAATATGGCATGTTGGCCCGCTTAGCTGTGGAGGCCGGCTTTGACTGGGTGTACTATGAATCCAAGGCACACATCCATGTTTCTGTGAAAGCAGGTACAGAGAGGGTTTTGCCCCCCAGCTATAAAAACGGGGGTGGGGGGTGGAGTCTGGGATTTGCATGAAGCGATTTGAAGAGCATGATTGCTAGGCTGCATTACCTGCCTTGGCAGAGGAAAGGGTCAGAGAGTAGTATTGTTTTTATGAATGGGGGCAGGATCAGACTTGACCCTTTCCCACAATTAGGCAACATGTTAATACTTCTGATGATTCTGTCTTCTTGTGTAGAACTGGAGCACAATAGTGATTCCTCATCCAGTCCATAAATACTTAAATCTGTTGTTTAAATATTTCACCACCACTTTTTATCACAAAGAATGCCAAAGCCAATCTAAAATCAGTGTAAAATCAGAATAAAGCCAGAGCAAAAATCAGAATGAAACGATGATGATGATGATGATGATTGGTCGCACAGTCAGCCAGATGTTTAGACTGTATTTGGCATTTTTATCCACCTGTCGAGTCCTTCCGAAGGACATCATCATCATCATCATCTCCATTAAAAGACAAATGTTGGAGAGGGAATGCCATAATAAAATACAGTTTTTAAAAGGTTTTTCCCCCCCGTCACGTTGGAGCTTGTTATATGCATGATCCAGGCCAGCAATGACCTTGGTGCCCAGATTCTCCCTGCTGCAAGGGTCATTCTTGATTTGAAGCCCGCTGGCTTTGCCACTGCCCGTAGACTCCTCTGGCCTTTGCATCGAGAGCTGACAAGGAAATTAGATGCTCTGGCTCCCAGACATAGTCAAAGACAGGGGCTCTCAACCTTGAGCAAGGAGACCTTGCTCAACATCTCATGATGTTGCCTATTAAATTCCCTAGATAACTCCATGGCTATTCGTGCAGGCGGCTGCTTCCCTGGTGATGCTACTGTGACGCTGCAGAGTGGTGAGAAGAGAAGCATCTCCAAGCTACGTCACGGAGACTATGTATTCAGCGTAGATCAGAACGGACAAGTGACACTTAGTGAGGTTCTGCTGTTCCTCCACCGAGACCCACACCAGCAGACTGTCTTCGTGGCCATTGAGACAGAAGAACCTGTTCACCGGCTGCTCCTTACATCCTCTCATCTCATCTTCGTTGCACGGGACTCCGTCAACAGCACAGCAGACTTCTCTCCTGTGTTCGCCAGCAGAGTGTGTGTGGGGGACTCGGTATTGACATATCAAGCAGGCAGCCCTCCATTACATCCTGCCCGTGTAGTCCGTGTTTGGCAGCAAGAGGGCACTGGAGTATATGCCCCCTTGACCTCACATGGCACAATCCTGGTCAATGGAGTGCTGGCTTCCTGCTATGCAGTCCTTGAAAGTCATCACTGGGCTCACCATGCCTTTGCCCCATTACGGTTTGTCTATGGCCTCTTCTCACTGCTGCCCCTGAAGGGGGAGTCTAGAAACTACAGTGCTCAGGAAACAGATGTGCACTGGTATTCACAGTTTCTGTATCATCTGGCATGGGACTTGCTGGGCCAGGATGTGCTTCACCCCTAGAGACTTGCAGGGCCATTTGCTTGCCAGACAAAGTTCAATTCATCGTCTTTAGATAAGGGAGGCCCTTGGGCACTTGCTTGGCTCCATATCTAGTTGCCTTGGCTGGGTAATGATCCTAGAGCTGAGGTCACTCAAAAGCAGTGTTTCTCAACCTTGGGAACTTTAAGATGTGTGGACTTCAACTCCCAGAATTCCCTAGCCAGCATGGCTAGCTGAGGAATTCTGGGAATTGAAGTCCACACATCTTAAAGTCCCCAAGGTTGAGAAACACTGCTTTCAAGCATCAACATTTGCAACAGAGAAACTAGCCTGGGTATATGTAGGAGTTGGATTGAGTGATTAGGTCAACTGATACCAGTGCTCCTGCTGTAGGTTGCATATCACAGGCACTGGACTACCTACAGATGTGTTTATGGAGCTTGCAAATATCCAAGGCATGTTGTGTTCCTCCTCCAAATTTAGCACCAAGTCAATAAACCCACTGTCTTAATTTTTAGCAGGTGGGATGGATTTCCTCCATTTCCCATAGGTGACCTGATCTTCTCTGATTATAAAGCCAGCATAAGATCAGCTGTGGCTTTTTTTTTTCTCCCCTGCAGCTGCTTAATTTGGTAAGTCAGGAAGGAGCAAGATATATAGCAGAAATGAGTGCGGATCATTTGTAAATGATCAGAAGAGTCTTTGCCCTCCCCTAGCTTCAGAAATGTACGGCAGTATTTCTGTGACATGCATTCAAGGAAAAGTAACGAAGGAGTTACGTTGGCCGGCTCTTCATTGTGCAGGTGATATGGAAACCTGCAGGGTCTCTCTAACACAGGGCTAGTGGGGCTTTTTCAAGAAGGGCCAAGAAACATGCCTGGGACCATACATGAAATAAGAATGGCATATAACAGGGTGTGTGTAGAGTTATTATAGCTTGGCACCCCTTTACTTACTGAGTTACAACACTGGATTCAAGAAGAAGAGAGAAAAGCAACTCCAGCCTCATCAGGGAAGGGTCTCATAAACACCCAGCCTGGAATGACTGAATGGAGTTACGCTGGACAGCCATGAGACCTGCCGCCTCATCTCTTTTTTGCCACTCCTGGATCTTAAGAAAGATCCCCCTGCATTTCCTATTTGCTATGGGCAAGGGGTGGGACGGGGAACCTAATATTTCCTTTGGAAAATTAAAATCCATGCCACTCTCTTAAGAACTCTGCAGTAATGAGATTAACATTTAACTGGCACTCCAGAGTTTTTATTTTTATATTTATATAAGTAGTAAATTAAATGTGGTCTGCCACCTCTTGTCTTGTGCTGTAGAAGATATTAATTTGATGTTTTTGACAGGGAAATGAAGGGGAGAAGCAAGCTGTTATTTCTGCAAGCTGTTTAACTTCTTCCTTTTTTTTTTTTTTTTTGCAATAGTATTTTTGTGTGTTTTTAACTAAAGAAAATTACTTTGACTCTGGTCTCTTAGCATGTTTCTTGAAAGATCAGCATTCTGTTTGAATATTGGGGAGGGGAAGATGAACATATAGTATCTCATGTGTCTTCCGCATTGGCAGGCAATTCCCTTACCTATTAATTGATTGGGTCAAAACATTTCTGTTTTATATCCCCGAGTATCCCAGAAGTATGCACTGGACACCTGTGATATAGAGGGATTTTGTATTTGCCATGGCTGACCCGCTCTACTGAGGTTCTGGGGTGATGGGAGTTTTAAACTACATGTACCTAGAATCCACTTGTCCACAAAGGCTTGTTATACGCTCCTTGGTATACCTAGATCCATTGTGGTAACAAACAAAATCAAGTAATCTTGCACTCACGCAGGTCGGTGGATCAGGATGGCTTTAGACCTTCTGCATCTTGGCCACCCAAGATTATCCTTCACAAAATGCTCTCAGGCTGCCTAAGTTTCTGAATGGCATTTTCCACATTTCTGCTTCTCCTGAATCAGTGCCAAGATGAGACTTATCTCCAATGCATTCACAGATTTCTGGGTTCTACCCTCATCGTTGCTTGTGCAAAAAGTTACCAATATAAAGCTAAGAGCTACCTCAGATCGGGCTGGTAGAGGAGCACAGCTGGCTAGGGAGGTTGCTGGGAGGCCAGTGGAAGCTCCCGCTGAGCCCCCGGCCCTGCATCTTCCTGCAGGGCCACGGGCTGCTTGCTGGCACGGCCAGTCATGCCTGGGAGGGCACCCAGTTGCCTCCTGCTGGGATGCTTGACTTTGTGCCACCATTTCATGCGCTTCTGATCCTGGTTCACATTCCTGCCTCTGACATTTGTATAATGAAGGTCAAGAGAGAGCTGGGAGCTGACAGAGGCAACTGTTTACACTGGGGTGTGTGGGCGTGAGGTCTGGCTGGTTCTATGTCCTCCCTTGCTCTGTCTAGCTCCACTTCCCACTCTCCTTTAGTTGCACACTTCACCCTAGTGTGGGTTTCTGGCAAGGGAGCAGTTGGGTGCCTTCTTAACAGGTGTCAGTGGTGAGAGACTCAAAACTGCCCAAAATCTATGGGAGTGGATGGCTATAATAAATTTAAATTAATAATAGTAATAAACTTGGGCACTTAGGCAATTTTGAGCCCAGGACAAGTTTTCCTTGTAGGAAATAATCTTAACTAAAAAAGTACAATTTCCCAGCTTGTGTTAACTTTGCTATTATTTATCATTCAAAAAGTACCAGTTAAGACTGCTACAGGGGGATCACCAATGTAAATGCGTCTTGTCATATTTTCTGCACTGCTTTAACAAAAATCCAGCTTCATTACTTAATTTAAATCGGGATCTGTGCGATTAACCATGCCTTGGAAATTAAAATCAGACCTCAAACTTGCATCCTTAGAATGCAAAGCTAATTATTTTCCTCTATGTCTGGAGGTGGTGGTAGAGGGTGGATATGATTATGTAGTCTTCACTGACCGGATTAATACATGAAGTGAAGAACTCTCATTTTCACATGAACATTCAGATTGCATAAATGGGCAGATGAGGTTTTTGCAAGTCCTGTGCAAGAAGCAGCACAGCCTAAATTCCAATAAGATACCAGTGACAGCCTAGTCTCCCTACTTTTACCAGATTTCTCCGCATGTCTTGAGTAATTCAAGAGCTAAATGAATTCCCAGATATGTGCATTACAATGTGGGTAGACTGTATGTTACACTTAAATAAAAACAAATGCCCTGGCAGAGGATCTGCTGCAGGGGGTTCAAATCCATATTCTTGCATAGATGGAAGGATGTCAAATGTTCAGTGACTCAAGGAATCCAAAGTCCCAAAAGAAGTATTATATGGGGAATATCGCACCCACACCCTTGTCTGTATGAGAGAGCAGTAACAGCCAGAGGGCTTTATCCATTCTCCATCATTTGCAGCAGAGGGTGGGGGTGATGTTATGATGCAGCTGGCTCAGTTCCCTTTGTGTTGCCTTGAGGGCTTTAGGAACAGCCAGACCTCAGCACGTGAGATTAGAAAGATGGAAAGAGTGTGGGGGTATGACTCTGGCGCTCCAGCTGCTCCTTTAATCTCCCAGGACTGGCTTGCCTGTACAGCCTGTTCCCCATCTATAGTCACTACCAGACTGAATCAGGATCCTGTTTTTATAGGAAAACCATCTGATGATTATAGATAAATTTAGCTGGGATACAGTGTTGACAACGTGGGATTCAAGAGTGGTGTTAAATACAAATGAAGTAAAGAGACTGAATTCCAGCAGGCAAATATGAATCGTGATGGAACTGAAGTAGATTAAAGCTCCAGCACATCTAAATTTGCTTTATTTTGTACCATGTGATGCACAGTATTCTTATGAGAAGTGCCTTATTTTTAATCTGTCAGAAGCAATCTGTAGCAAGGGCTACATCTCTGTTCACCAGTCAAATCCTGGGATGGGTCAGTTCCGTGATTGTTGTGGGAGCTCTACTAATTCCCTGAAAGTCTTGAAGAAACTGTACTTCCCCAGATAACTCAGGTTAAAAGCAACCACCGAAGTTGCTATCTTACAAAATAAACGAGCACAAAGTTTGATGCATTTAAACCTTTGGAAATGATTGGCTTTAAAAGATAGACAACTTGATCCCTTCCAGATCATTTGGGCTACAATTCCCATAAGTCCCAAACAATACACACACACACAACGTATATACCAACACACCCCGCAGCTTCTGGTTAAGGAAATTCAGCGTGTGTGTGTATACTGAATTTCCTTAACCAAAGGCTTAAGGAAATTACACACACACACACACACACACACACACACACACACACCCCTCAGCCTCTGCATATGCCCAGGATTTGATGATCTAATTTTACTCCAGTCCTGAGATCTACTGATAAAAGCCTGACATAAAAGACATAGATTTGCAATAACTCTGTGCACAAGCATTTGTTTGACTATTAAAATTGAACAGAGCTCACAATCCTGCTGCATTAAAAAAAATGCGGCCAACCAGAGCTTTGTTAATTTCAGCAATAATTATACACCGAACACAGCAGGGGTGGAAAAACCAGTTCCCAGGCATTGCTGTACCATAACTTTTAGCATCAATGGCCATTTGCTCTAGTGACTGGGGCTACTGGGAGTTGTTTGATGCAGGGACTTCTAAGGAGCCACAGGTTTCTCACTCCAGGAGGACAGAAACAGGCAAGTGTAGCTTCTGTTGCCCAGGCGCTATATTGATGTGACTATAGTAACAGGAAGAACAAACTGGAATGTTGCCTGAATGAATAAATATTACAGGTTAGTAAGACTGTGGTCCAGATGTTCTTGAACCACAATTCCCTTCCCCCTGACCACTGGTCATGCAGACTAGGGCTGATTGGAGCTGCAGCCCCGTAACTTCTGATGGGCTTTATGGGGTCCAATCCTTGTGGCATGTCTCAGATTGAAGACAGCGGCATGTTGCTTATACTTGAAAACCAAAGTAGAACTTTTTTTTTTTACAGACGATACTGACAAAAGCTAAATTAATTCCTAGCTACATCTTGTATGCATCGCTGCAGGTAAGCTGTATGCTGCAATTAAGATAAATGTCTTAAAGAAGATACACTGACAGGAGGGCAAGGATGATCTCATATGTGCACATTCACATGACATGTCTAATGGTCTGGCACTACTCGTTGTAAGAGGTCTGGTCCAGAATTACCGCACAAACTGAGGACTGGGAGCAGGCAGCCTAGTGGGTATCCTAGCCACTTCCAGATTTACTTATTTACCATAGTTAAAAAAATAAAAATAAAATCCATTTCCTGGTCCACTTTCAGGAAATGAAAAGTAGACGAGCAAGAGAAAAAATGTTGCGAAGCATGTTTGTGCCACATTTAGGTGCAAAAGGGGAAAGGCATTATAATTGTGTTCATGTCACACAATTAAATGACAAATGAGCAAACATTATAATCTAGGTGTTGTGCAAACACAGCCTGTGTTGTTTAAGGCAAACTGGTAAATTGGACTGAGTTAACCATGGGTAAAAATATTGAGTAAAAGATCCAGAATTACATGCATAGTAAATAATTGATCTAAGAGAGTCAAATTGCAAAGGTGAAAACCCATCAAAAGGCATGATGAGTATGATATTGAATTATTTTAAGCCCCACTGATTTAAATGAAAGAGTAAAGCAGATCTTCTCTTCCACTTAAAACAATAGAGTCTCTAATATGCTTAACAACTATTGGATTTTAAGTTTAAAGAAGACTTATTTAATCTCCACCAGAAGTGTTGGAGTAACACTCTTGGAGCCTTTCAGGTCTAGCTTGGTGACTTTTGTCTTCTTGGGGATGAGGGGAACCCAGTAAAATGGGACACTTTTGGATTGCGTGGTTTCTGCTGCCCTCTGGTGCTCTAGCCAAATAATGTAGGGGAGTATGTTCTGTTCAATTGGGAAGGGAAAAAATACCCTTAGTGTTACTGTTGTTAAAAAGTTGTTTAGAAGTGGTTGTATGTTAACATTTGCAGTGATGACAAAAGGATATTCCCAACAGCACGAAGAGTAGAATTATAATCCTGGCAAAAAAAAATAAAAATAGGAATGCTGTTTCTTCAAAGATTGGGCTAGCAGACAGAACCTCCAGAAGTAGTAATATTGTTTCTTTTCCAGATACCACATCTGCTACTGCTGTAATTGTCATTGTGGGTCCAATGAGGTCCAATGACACAACTGCTCCCTCTGCCAGCTGTTGCCTTTGTTGTTGTTACACAAATCCAGGGGAAGGCCATCCATGAGGGACTTTTAAAGTGGCAAGCGCTTCATGAATGTCTGAGTCAACCAGAGGTTCAGTGAGCATAGGAAGTTCACTGGCAGCCTCCCCCCTCCCCCAATTTTGGTATGCCCCCGCAATGTTTTTTTCTCCCAG